ATGGCTGTGCTGGCAAGGCTGCAGCAGCCACATCCTGCAGGACAGAACAACATGCTAAGGGAAGCAAAGAAAGAAGACCACAGGAGCGTGGGTTGCCTGGGACCATGGAGCTGCCATGGCAGCCATGGGTCACCCATCTCTGGCCCTTCTGTATAAGCCAAATGAAGCCACTATTATTTTGTGATTAAAAAAAAGTCTTTAAATTTATTTATTCACACTTTACTTGAAAGGCAGACAGAGATCTTCCACCTGCCGTTCACTCCTCAAATGCCTACAATTGCCAGGACTGGCCAGGTTGAAGCCAGGAGCCTAAGACCTCAATCTGGGTCTCCCATGTGGGTGGCAAGGGCTCAAGTACTGAGCCATCACCTGTTGCCTCTCAGGGTGCCCATTAGCAGGAAGGTGGATTGGAAGCAGAGTCAGAAATTGAACCAGGTACTCTGATACAGGATGCAGGTGTCCCGAGCAGCAACCTAACCACTGCTCCAAACACTTGCCCCTATTTTGTTATCACAGTCACACCAAATCATATCTGATATAACAATCGCTATTTAAAAAAAATCTGGTGTTGGCACAGTGGGTTAAAGCCCTGGCCTGAAGTGCCAGCATCCCATATGGGTGCTGGTTTGAGACCTGGCTGCTCTACTTCCTGTCCAGCTCTCTGCTATGGCCTGGGAAAGCAGCAGAAGATGGCCCAAGTGCTTGGGCCTCTGCACCCACGTGGGAGACCTGGAAGAAGTTCCCGGCTCCTGGCCTCAGACAGCGCAGCTCCGGCCGTTGTGGCCAATTGGGGAGTGAACCAGCGGATAAAGACACCCCCCACTCTGTGCCTCTCCTCTCTCTGTGTAATTCTTTCAAATAAAATAAATAAATCTTTAAAAAAATAAAAAAAAATCTCATTTAAAGAGGTAAGAGGTAAGATTCATGAAATAGCCCAGAAAAGAGAACAAAATGTTAAGTAAAAGAAAATTAAAGAACTATGGAAGAAGATATTAAACAGACATAATGGAGCAGGGTGGGAGGTGGTGGGGAATCAGCAAAGCAAAGTCATAGAAAAGCATGAATCTGGTGAACAAACAAGAACAATCACAGGGGAAATGAGAGAAGTGTTTGACGAGGACACTGTGCTAAATAAAATGAGCACGTTACAACAAGGTAAATACAATACAATTCTGGGGCTGGTGTTATGGAGCAGCAAGCTAAACTGCCACATACAACGCTGGCATTCTGTACTGGAGCACTGATTCGTGTTCCAGCTGCTCCATTTGTAATCCAGATCCTTGCTAACATGCCTGGGAAAACAGCAGCAGATGACACCAGTACCTGGGGACCTGCCACTCACATGGAGATCAGAATGGAGCTCCAGGCTCTGGGCTTTGGCCTGGACCAGCCCCAGCTATGTGGCCACTTGGGGAGTGAATCAGTGGATGGAAGACCTCTTTCTCTTTCTCCCTCTTGCATTCTCCCTTTCAAATAAATAAATAAATATTTTAAAAATACTATATGACTCCACTTATATGAAATACCTAGAGAATTTGAATGGTGCTGTAATGGGCGGGGCGGGGGGAAGGAGTATGAGGGAGATACATAGCTTCAGTTTTAATAGATACATAGCTTTGCCGGCGCTGCGGCTCACTAGGCTAATCCTCCGCCTTGCGGCGCCGGCACACTGGGTTCTAGTCCCGGTCGGGGCGCTGGATTCTGTCCCGGTTGCCCCTCTTCCAGGCCAGCTCTCTGCTGTGGCCAGGGAGTGCAGTGGAGGATGGCCCAAGTCCTTGGGCCCTGCACCCCATGGGAGACCAGGAGAAGCACCTGGCTCCTGCCATCGGATCAGCGCAGTGCGCCGGCCACAGCGCACCGGCTGCGGCGGCCATTGGAAGGTGAACCAATGGCAAAAGGAAGACCTTTCTCTCTGTCTCTCACTGTCCACTCTGTCTGTCAAAAAAAAAAAAAAAAAAGATACATAGCTTCAGTTTTAAAAGAAGAGTTATGGAGATAGAGGGTGGTGATGATTACATAACATCATAAACATATTTAATAACATTAAACTTTACACTTAAAAAAGTGAAGATGGACAGTCATATGCTGTGTGTATTTTACATAGCAAAAAAAGATAGACTATTGAACAGGCTACTGAGCCAGGAAGTAAAAAAATGATGTCTGACATGGAGAGATCAAGGAGCTGCCATAAGACTACATCATTTAGTCAGTCACAGGGAAGTTGACAGAGGATACAACTTTTTGACTTAAAGTGAGGTTTTCCTAATAGAGCCCCAAAAAGTAATCTATAGAAGGGAATTGACACTCTGAGATGCGATGACTGAACAGTCCCTGTCTCGACTGCTGAGGAGCATTTTCTTTTTCACGTGATTGTTGAACTCTTTATTTAGTGCAGGGTTTTCTTATGTGTATAAAGTTAACTGAAAATAAATCTTAGTAAAAAAATAAGATTGGGAATAGAGAGGGAGAAGGAAGAAAGGTGGGAGGGCGGGTACAGTGGGAAGAATCCCTATGTTCCTAAAGTTTTACTTATGAAATGCATGAAGTTTGTATACCTTAAATAAAAGGTTTCTGGGGAAGAAAAAAAGAAAGTGGGTTTTCTGGGAGTAGGGTGTAGGAAGGGCGGCAGTGGTGGCAGAAAGAGCAGGAACTACTATCCCATGTGACTGCTAACATCAGCTGCCTTATGAAACTGTACACTTACTGTTTTGATAAAAATAATTTAAAAATTTTAATAGTGCTCCTACAACTAAAAAGGTTGCCACAATTTAGAAGTAATAAAGTGGGGCCTGGTGCTATGGCTTAATGGGTAAAGTTTGAGTCTCGGCTACTTCACTTCAGATCCAGCTCCCTGCTAATACACCTGAGAAAGGGCAGAAGATGGCCCAAGTACTTGGGCCCTTGTACCCACATGGGAGACCCGAAGAAGTTCCTGGCTCCTGACTTTGGTCTGGCTCAGCCCTGGCTGTTGCAGCCACCTGGGGAGTAGATCAGTGGAAAGAAGATCTCTCTCTTGGTCTCTCTGTCTCTGTCTTTCAAATAAATAAATATTTAAGGAAAAAAATGTAAGGAAGGAAAAATCAGCACGTACAGTGTTTGTCTTTAGACATTGCCTGCTCTTGGTCCACACCTGCCCATCGAGATCTCAAGGCGCAGGGTGCGGTGGAAGATCATGCAGGGGCTCCCAGAACAGGCAGTCATGGGGGCATGTCCAGCTGCACAGTGAAGCAGCTCTGAAGCTTCCCTGTGGTCTCACTGAGCCTTCAGGGTTTTCATGTGTAGAATGCTCATATCTATTATACGAGGGCCCTTCAAAACATTTGTGGAAAACAGAATTCAAAGATTCTATTATTTGGTTGTATACATTTTTTGAAACCCATGTGGTTTTTTCATAATATTTATTTTCCATGAACTTTTTCTTTTTTAAAGATTTATTTATTTACTTGAAAGTCAGTTACACAGAGAGAGGAGAGGCAGAGAGAGAGAGAGAGAGAGAGAGAGAGAGAAAGGTCTTTCATCTGCTGGTTCACTCCCCAAATGGCCGCAACCGCTGGAGCTGTGCCAATCCGAAGCCAGGAGCCAGGAGTTTCTTCCAGGTCTCCCACATGGATGCAGGGGCTCAAGGACTTGGGCCATCTTCTACTGCTTTCTCAGGCCATAGCAGGAGCTGGATTGGAAGTGGAGCAGCCGGGTCTTGAACCGGCACCCATATGGGATGCCGGCACTTCAGGCCAGGGCTTTAACCCACTGTGCCACAGCACCAGCCCCTCAATTAACTTTTAAAAAATTTATTTATTTGAAAGGCAGAGTGGCAGAGAGAGAGACAGAGAGACATCTTCCATCTTCTGATTCATTCTCCAAATGCCTGTACCATCCAGGCTAGGCCAGGCCAAAGCCAAGAGCCAGGAATTCAATCAGGATCTCCCACATGGGTTGCAGGAACCCATGTACTTGAGCCACCCTCTGCTACCTCCAAGGGTGCATTAGCCGGAAGCTGGATCTGAAGTGAAGGTGGGACTTGATCTCGCTCAGTTATGGGATGTGGGAATCCCCAGCACTGAGTTAACCCACTGCATCACAGTGCCCCCTCCTCCAGCAACTTTGTGAAGAGCCCTCGTATTACACAAATAGATAAAAACCACCTAGAACATGGTGGATCCTTACAAACCATGAGCTTTCTCTTTCAGAGTTTCTCCTGCCCTGTGAGCCTCTGAGAGTCTCTCTTGTCTCTGTGGTTTAGACTTGAGAAAGCAAAGGCATGTTCCTTTAGCCACCTTCTCTCCTTCCTTTCTTGACTGGTTGGGGAGACTCATCTTCCACAGACAAAATATACCAAGTGCTTGCCAAGCAGTTTGTCATAACACATTGGCACTTCTCCTGAAAGGAGAAATTCATTTCAGTCACATTGGCATTAGACCTCAGCTGAGTTTTCAGTGAAAAGAAATTGATATTCAATTTCTAGCCATGGCTGCCAGCTCTGACATTACAGGAATAGATAGAAATTTCTGCTTAAAATTAACTACAGTATCTATAACAGAGAATTATAAATAATTCAGCCCATCCCATATGGGCGCCGATTTGAATCCAGGCTGCTCTGCTTCCTATCCAGCTCTCTGTTATGGCCTGGAAAAGCAGTGGAAGATGGCCCAAGTCCTTGGGCCCCTGAACCCGCGTGGGAGATCTGGAAAAAACTCCTGATTCCAGGCTCCTGGCTTCAGATTGGCGCAGCTCCAGCCGTTGAGGCCAGTTGGGGAGTGAACCAGTGGATGAAGACCTCTCTCTCTCTCTGCCTCTCCTTCTATCTCTGTGTAACTCTGACTTTCAAATAAATAAATGAATCTTTTTTAAAAATTTTAAAATAACATGTTTTAAAGTAAATAAATAAATAATTCAGCTGATACCTGAATAGAATATTTTAAAAAAGCAAAATTAATAAAAATTTTAAACTCAGGTCATGATAACAGGCAATTGAGACTCCAGCATGGTTCCAAAGCACTCACCTTCTTTACTTGGCCTCCGCTGGCTACACAGCTCTGGGAGAAGTTCCTCACGTAGTCCCCCAGGCCAAGTCCCTTCACTCCTGGAAGTCTGCTTGTTCCAGTCGGACCTGTGCCCCTCCCAGGAGGCAGTGGGCAACCTGTCAGAGCTACCAGGAGGGAAGGAGGTAGGGGAGTTGAGGTCCAAGAGGAAGCTGTCCTGTAGGGTTTGTTTGGTAGCCTTCTTGCCTTTCCTCTTCTGACCCTCAGGGCTCCTGTCCCCCTCTCCTTGCCTGGGCTGGCTACTCTCAAGATCCCTGGTTAGCTGCAGGAGCTGGTCCATGTCCTTGGCGAATTCCAGCAGAGTGCCCTCAGAGAGGCTTCGAGCAGGGCCCTCAGAGCCATAGGTAGGAGCTTTTTCCAGGAGCAGATGCTCAGAGCAGTGGACAGCTTCCGTGCCTTCCCTGAGCGCTGGCTCAGTCCCCCGGGGAAGGCCGCAGCGGTCCATGGACAGAGAGAAGTATGAGTAGTCCACGGCCACGTACGTCAGCATGAAGTTGATGGTGACGATGGGAGCCAGAATGTTCACCTGGCCCACAAGGACAAAGGCCATGGTCACCAAGCTGGTCAGGCAGATGGCAGTTACAGGTGTTTTATTTGGTCCTTTCTGAAAAAAGAAAAGTACCATTTAGGACTAAGAAATTTCAAACAGAAAGTACCAGAAGGTTCAGAAGTTACATGAGAGAACCCAAACTCAGAGTGGCTCAGGCATTTCTTAGCATGTGACTGTTTATCTGGAAACCTGAGACAATAATATCCAACTCGTGGGGTCATCTTGAGAGAAGAGCTAATGCAGGTAAAATGCTGAAAACTGAACTCACACACAGCGGACTCCTAGCGCACCACAGGAGGTAGTTTTATCAGTAACTATTAGCAAGGGACATTTTCAAAGAAATCTGACTTCCAAATGTTTTCCCTTTTTGTCGTTCACTGCATTTTAACACCAGCCTTGGCAATCAAAGAAATGTCAAGTTTATTCTTCCCATGGAATGCTGTGTCCAGGAAAACAATCTGGGGAGGGGCTGGCACTGCGGCACAGCGGGTTAAAGCCCTCGCCTGAAGCGTTGGCATCCCACATGGGTGTCGGTTCTAGTCCTGGCTGCTCCTCTTCTGATCCAGCTCTCTGCTATGGCCTGGAAAAGCAGTGGAAGATGGCCCAATTCCTTGGGCCCCTGCATCCATGTGGGAGACCTGGAAGAAGCTCCTGGCTCCTGGCTTCAGATCGGTGCAGCTTCGGCCATTGAGGCCATCTGGGGAGTGAACCATCAGATGGAAGACCTCTCTCTCTGTCTCTACCTCTCTCTGTAACTCTGTCTTTCAAATAAATAAAATAAACTCTTAAAAAAAAAAAAAAAAAGAAGGTGGTCGATGCTGCGGCTCACTAAGCTAATCCTCCACCTGCGGTGCCGGCACACTGGGTTCTAGTCCTGGTTGGGGCGCCGGATTCTGTCCCAGTTGCTCCTCTTCCTGTCCAGCTCTCTGCTGTGGCCCAGGAATGCAGTGGAGGATGGCCCAAGTGCTTGGGTCCTGCACCCGCGTGGGAGACCAGGATAAGCACCTGGCTCCTGCCTTCGGATCAGCGCGGTGCACCGGCCGTGTGCCAGCTGTGGCGGCCATTGGAGGGTGAACCAACGGCAAAGGAAGACCTTTCTCTCTGTCTCTCTCTCTCACTGTCCACTCTGCCT